CTGGACTTCGAACTTCGTACGACGACAACCTGAACTTAAGACGCGTTTTAATCGAAGGGTTGATTATCAAAGAGTCCAATGCGAAAATCCAGAGGCGTATAACGCGTGGTTTCGCCTCGTACGAAATATAATTGACAAATATGGGATTCAGGAGGAGGATATTCATAACTTTGACGAGACTGGGTTTCGTATGGGCCAAATTACATCAGAAATGGTTGTTACAAGTACCGAAAGGCTTTCTCGGCCTCGTACAGTACAGCAAGGAAACCGGGAATGGGCAACAGTAATTCAAGGTGTTGGGTCGTACGGCTTTGTAGTGCCTCCATATATCATTTTGGCGAGGAAGAACCACCTCTCCTCCTGGTACGAAAACAGCCAATTACCACGCGACTGGGTAATTGCTGTAACTACAAATGGCTGGACAACAAATGAGCGAGCCCTAGATTGGATTTTTCATTTCGATCGGCATACAAAGCTTCGTACGAAGGGCATTCACCGGCTGCTTGTGCTTGATGGCCATGAAAGCCACCACTCAGTCGATTTTGAGCTTTTTTGTAAAAGTAATAACATTATTACTCTTTGCATGCCAGCTCATTCCTCTCATAGACTCCAGCCACTCGATGTAGGATGTTTTCGAGCGTTAAAAAGGTCGTACGGTGCTGAACTTGAGAAATTAATGCGACTCCACATTACATATGTTTCTAAGGAGGATTTCTTATCAACATTCTATACTGCCTTTCGTACGACAATGACTGAATCAAACATTCGAGGAGGATTTCGAGGATCTGGCTTAGTGCCGTACGACCCAGATTCTGTGGTTTCACAGCTTGATATACGTCCAAGGACTCCGTCACGTCCATCTACCTCAACAAGCCTCCTAGCTATTTGGGAACCAAAGACCCCAAATAACATAACAGAGGCATATTCCCAGACGTCATATATACAAAACAAGGTCGTACGACACCAAGATAGTTCTCCGACCCAGATTCTATATGGCCTAGACCAGCTTGCAAAGGGTGCACAGCGTGCAATCACTGAGGTAGCTTTATTACGAGCTGAGAATGCTACACTTCGTACAGCAAATGATCAACTTAGTCGGCGTCGTCGTACGAAAAAGCGCCGATTACAGGAAGGAGGATCACTTACTCTCCAAGATGCGCAAGATTTAGGGGTCCTTAGTAATGTTGATTCGCAAGAACAAGTGGTTTAAGTAGAAAATAGTAATTGTACGAGCCCGAGTCTAGTACCTCGCCGGCGCTGTGGACTATGTGGGAAACATGGCCATAACATACGAACTTGTCAAAAAGGAGAAGAAATATGTGAGGATTCCGATTCTGAATACTGTAATTAATTTAATTAATTGTGTCGTGAGATATTTAAGAATTTATAAAATGCCAAGAAAAAAAATCCATTTCGCTTGGGAATCCAACTCGCTTGTGGACTACGTTAATATATCTATTTTATATATAAATAGAAATATGTTTACCTTAAGTAGATTTCATTCATATTCTCTTTATTTATACTAGATTAATTTACTTAAAAGATTTTATATAAAGAGATTTAAAATGTAAATGTCACGAATCACATGCTCACGTGATACTTGTCATAATAAAGAGGCGCAACCCTCGACAGGCACATCCAGGTTTCTTATAGCAAATAGGGATTGCTTAGGCCAGCTAAGCGATCCATGGATTTCATTTGGTTGTTGTCACGTGATGGACCCCGATGGATCCAGGAGGGATCCAGTAGAACGAAGGTTCTATATAAGACTGGCACTTCTGCCATTAGATAGGAGCTTCGTGCTCAACTTAGTTATCAATCTTATCATATTAGTTTGACATCTTTGATACAAGTAACGAGTTCACTTCCAAGTGAACAACCCGATAGTCTTCTTCT